ATGAATACACGAATGGGTCTGATGTTAGGTGCATGACTGAAATCTTTATCAAGAAGACAATCAGACACAACGTTTTAAAGAAAACAGTAATAAAAATTTAAAGAGGAAGTACTATTTATACGTATATCATTCTGTCTTTAATTTGGTCAAAAATCTGCCTTGGACTTATATGATAATTAGGAGTATATGAATTATAGTACGAACTAAGAATCCCAGAAATAAGAAGTACTAGATAAGCACAAACGAATGTACTGTATTTGGAATTCGAAATCAAGCATTCAATAAGTACAAAGGAATCACTATTTCATTCAAACACCACAACTTAAGATATATTTATTTACTCAAAATATGAGCCTAGTAGACCTTTATGTAGGGTCTAAACACTATAGTTTGTTCCTAATTTAATTTCTAAGTGATTTAGTAAATCATAGAATTCTGTAACTATATATTAAGAATCGTCAGAAATGTAAACTCTTTAGCTTTGTAATTTTTTCTTTCGATAGTGAACATCTAAATACAAAAACTCATGATTCCTACTCGGATTTGTCTTAATGAAAGCAGTTATGGAGAAAGTCTGTGTGAACACTTGAATTCATTTTATGTTGTTGATTTTTCTAATTAATAATCAAATTGAATTGTTTGACAATGAAATATTAAAGAATGAGAAAGGTGAAAAACTGGTTTTATAATGGCACTAAAACTGAGCTATTGTCATTTTGCAATTTGTATCTTTGACACATTTTAAGTAGCTTGTTACGATTTTTATTTTATTAGTTCACTTTTCCATGTGGTTTATCTAGAGGTCGTGTATTAGTTTCTACATATTTTAGTTCATTCAATTATTTTCCTGAAAACTTCGAATCACTTGTTCAAGTTAATTTCAAATGATATTGTTTATCCATTAAGATGATAATTTTTGGAGTCAAGTCAACTACATTTACGATATTGTATGTCACCGTGCTTCATTAATACTTATAAAAAAATACCGAATCACATCTATAATATAGTACTGTGCGATCGACCAGTCATTGTGTCATATATTGAATGTTAGTTAATGTAGGGATTCATTTTCAGAACATAAAATATATGCAAATTGATGAATATATTTTCAACCGCTCAGGATTTCATTTTCTGTCGATTCATTGGAAATATCGCATTCGAATTAGCTTTTCTGTGACTAATAAAACACTTAATCTTCTAACGAGCTTACTTCCATTGTTTATCTTGCTAATTTCTGTATAGATATCATATGGAACATAATCTATGGAAAAAAACACTCCTGCTTATGCATTTAATTCAATAACAAATACCACTAACCTAAAACCATAATAAATACTAATGAAAGTTTACTGATGACATTTCATTTATTATTTATTGCTTCGGAATATTATTGTGCCTATGTTTAAGTGTTTCAAACCGATATTTTTTCGCACTTTGTGTGTACAAATAGAGATTCATTATCAAACAAAAACAGATCAAGAACTATGTCTAGCCAGTGGAAAAATTTGAACCTGGAAGTACTAGACATCCACTAACCCATAACTCAAAGCATTTATGCAATTTTCATCATAAAATGAAGCTACTATAACCGACAAATATAATACAACTTATCAGGTTACATGCTCTTTGCTCCTCTGTTAAGTGTATAAATATGATTAAGTTTTTCTGTTAGAGTATTAAACTTTCATTGTTATGCTTCATATAATTACAAAATCATCATGATTAAATACCTTAAGAAGTTAAACGATCATAGGATAAGGCCTAAGCACCTCCTCTCACAAATGCTGTGTGATCATTACCAAACAAAATAAATACGCCGACAACTTTAGGTCTTCTTCATTACAATATGTATTCTTCTGATCTAAAAAGTTTATAAATTTTTAGTCATTAGAGGTTATGATATCATGAAATTCCCAATTAATTACAGCCATGATATGAATTTCTTATGAATTACCCGTCTTTATTACAATGAGTACGTTATACAATTCGGAAATAATCCACAAACATGATAATGATGATAAAAATAGTTAGATAATTAAAGTAGTTTGTTCTGAAAAATCCAACGCAAACTAACTGTACAGAAATGATTGCTAATTTATTCCAATTCAGGAGAAACAGTTTGTAAATTTCAGTTTAAAGGACAAAAGCGAGGGTGGGAAACATGAAATTCAGTTACTTTTCGACCATGTGAAAAACGTAATGAAAGAATAAACCCAATTATAAGACAAAAAACATGTTTGTGAATTCACAATCTTAACTGTCAATCGAGTGACAGTACACATTTTAAGAGTTTGCAGGGATGGTGTAGTGGTAAATAACTCCCTGAGTTACATATTTCTGCAAGTATTCAACATTGGTACTGATCTCACTAGTTTTACTGGACAAATTCTAGCTGAAGGCGCTCGGTCACGCATCCGCACCAGCTTACGAGTGGGTAAGTCGTGCTACACACCCCTCGCAAGTAATAGCCAGCTCGGGTCAGACGCTTCTCAACATATGGATTACTCTCTAAATATATCTTCGAACTCATGTCCGACTTATGATTGATACCTTTCAATTATAAACGTGTTACGGACAAAAGCGTTGTTAAACTCTGAATATCTGTGGGGTCCTTAATGGTTTAGTACGACAAAACAAACTACACATCTACTAACTAGCACTAAAGAGGGAACGCATTCCTCTTCACACATAAGAAATCGGTGTTTGCATATTAAAAGCATAATTCGAGAGAGATTCTCATTATCACTTTTCAAATACCACAGTAAAAAATATATTACCCACCATGTCAATGACTTTTGATCATTTCAACAAAATATGGGATTTTAGGAGCTGATGACAATTTTTGAAATAAAGAAGACTGACAATATTTTCCCCCAACTGTTTTAAATAAGTACGACGGATCTTTAGATGGAATTATCATGTTCGGTTGAGGTAGTGGATCCTTTAAAATGATTTTTAGCAATTACTGCTGTTAATCCTTTGTTCGAGTTTCCTCTGAAAATTTTCACTTCTACTAAAAATACCGACACTTCAGGAATATTCAGATTAACGTTTTATATGGAATAGTTCAAAGTTACCTGAAGAATCTCTTATTCAGACAGGTGTGAGTAGATTGCTCTACATATTAAGCTTCACACATTTTGATGACAAATTTAAGTGTTACTCAGTTTAGTTTGGACAGTTGGATAAAAATATGACCCGATCTTTGCGTTTCATAAAATTCTGACAGTTTGACTTATTTTTAGCATGAGAGATTACTGGTCCTTACTTGGGACTATGATTTAAAAAAGAATTGATCGGAAGTGATCCAATCAACAAGTATCAGCAAAAGTAACCGGATTGATGTTTTCAGTTGACTAAAATGTCTTGGTATATAAAGTATCTAACGGTAATGTTGACAATTTATTCTGTGAACATGATAATCGTTAACTAATTCATTGTATGACTACAAATTTATGCAATATTCAATACGGTGAATGTCACCCATTTTTATTTCGTAAATCTACCCATTTTTTGTATATCAAGACTATAAGAAATCCTGGGTATAATCTGTATCATAAGGTAAACTCAGTTTAAATGATGGGATATATGCTAGGAAATTGTCGATATGATCTTTCGACCATTGAACACTAGAATATGGCATTGATTGTTTACCGTTAACTGATTAGCGTATAAAGCACAGTTCAACCGGGATAACTAACCATTTAAATGAATTTTGCACTTCCCGAAGTTTATTCTAAAACTAGTAGCATATTTAGTCTACAACACTATCGCGTGGAATGGACATAAATCAAGCACTTCCAACCATAAAAATAACGAGTAAGCAATCAACAAAACCAATTGAATATCCCACAAACTATAATAAAGTATTATCAAAGGCTTTTAACAGTACTTTACAGGAAACCAATTTCTCAGGGATCGCTCAGTATATAGCCTTACCCTCCGATATTAACGTTCACATTAAAGATAAATGAGAGTATATTGTAATGTAAATGCACTGTGCGCTTTAGAGACCGGATGTTTTTCCAGGTTCATTTTTTGAAATTTTGACAGAATACTCAGGACAATCCTATCTGAAATTTTTGGAAACACTGACATGAAGTATTTTGACCAAGTGTATTTGTCATAAAAATTCAACACTAACGAATTCCCGTCGCACTGAGTATTAGGCCAAACAGGACTCTCGTTTTCAAATTCAGATTACCGAGTTTCGTCCAATAAGCTGCCTTTAATCGAATTAGAATGTTAGAACATACAAAAAATCTAAGGATATGATTCTAACATGTGCAGTTGACGTATTTAGTGTAATTTGTGATACATTCAGGCGACATCCGGTAATGTAGACGGAAACGAAGCATTTATGATGTTAAGTAGCTGGGATTTGCCAACTAACTAGTTGCTGGTAATCGAATGGCCAAAAAAATCATTTGTAAAATTTACAATACTATGCGGTTTGTATATTTCCTGGAAAATAATTGAGGAACAACGGCTCAGGAGTTCATAAACTCATCTTCAAGCCAGCAAGTCATGAGACAGGTCCCCACTTGACCTATAAAGGGTTACATAGTTAAGCAATATAATCACCTTTTACACAACAGACGTAGCTAACAGATTAATGTATGGACACACACAAATAGCTGTTACTTGCACCAGAGAGAACATTTTTTATACTAGTGTACTTATAGAATTTTAATAATGGATTTGAATCATATTTGGTTTATACAAATTTAGCATGGCTATAGTATAAATATACTATTCTGAACTAGCAGGTGTCATAGGTATTTATTCGAAAAACACATAACAGTAATAACAAGCTGTTATGTGATGCGTATACATTAAGAAAATCTGCTCCAAGTCACTTATTACATTTTGTAGTAGAAGGAACACAGAACTTCACATTTGTGAAGTCATTACTCGTCATATATACTTCTCTAATTCATATACTACAGACAATTCATTAATAGTTATTGCCCAAAGAACAGACAAAGAAATACCATCAGTTTGGGAAATAATTTATTCAATAACGCTGAAGGTTTTGTTAAATATTCTACAAACGAGTGTCATATAGAAGTAAAAAGTCATCGTTCTAGACCAACTTTACCACGAGTTTGAGTAGTTTTCAAGTTTATCGCCAGCATTCATAGCAAGCTAAAAAAAGTGAATGGGGAAATCGCATACAATATATTGATTAAATTAATTTAAGAGATGGAAAATGAATGCAAAGACAAAAATCATGTTATGAATGACGAGGAAATACAGTGGTTACATTGGTTTAGCGGAGAGAATGCACTATGTATTTAATATTGCGTTGAATACATCCACAAAATGATTGTGTAAGCATAGAATTGAAGGCATTAATCTATTTCTTCATCCAAACTAGAGAAACAGATAAGACAACTACATCGACAAACAGGGAACTTCCGTAAGATGCGGCACGAAACATGTTTTTTTCCATTTGCTTTTAATTTTACAGCAAAATTGAAATAATTGTCAGATTTTTGGCAAGTTTTACGGCTAAGACTTTACAACTAATCAACTCTTTCTATAATTCACGCTTTAAAACGACTAACAGTCCAGATTACAAGTTTTGATTTACATAGCAAAGAAGTCATCAACTAACGAAATATTTCATCGGCAGTTTAAAAGTAACCAGTTAGACAAGAAGAATCCTATGATGTATTAGATAATAAACCATAAAGCCACAGACTTTTTCTAACCAGTCGATAAAGACTGGTAAAAGTCGAGTATCTCACAATTATTGTTTACGCACATGCTAACCAAATGTGACAGTTTAAAGTAATTTGTGTTGAGTGTAATTATAGTGTACATTACAACGAATATATATAAGATCGATCAGTAGTCACTAATTTGACAACTCAACATTCTTTAGAAAATAAGTTGTAGTTTATATAAATAAAATGCAACTGAAAAAACTATGAAGCAAAAGTAAGAAAAAAAATTCTTACATGAGATGATTGCGACGATCTCCTTGCTCAGTAGAGTTATACACTTTCATGATACCGAGTACGTTTAACAAATTCATGTCAAATGGTCAAGATCAGATACAAAAGTATTCACCCTTCACTTCCAGACTAGCTATATGGTATATGCGTAGACTTCTATATACGTAGGTCTATCAATTTGCTTCCGTGATACACGGACAAATGGTTTTTTCATAACACTCGGCAGATAGTGACCAACACTCATCGATCGTGTTGAGTGTCCAAAAAACACCTCCACATTAGGAAAGTCAATTCGTTCGAAGTTAGCGTAAACTCCAGCAACACCAGCAAATTTTTCCATATCACAGGAAAGATACTTAGAATTTAAAAATCCATCAGTGAGAGATGAGTGAACTATTTCAGAAACGGAAATGGAGTCACCGTTAAAACGTTCTGCAGAACGCTGAGCAAGTTGAGTTTTTATAAGTTGTTCACCAGTACCTGAAGTGACAACCCCAATACTAGAAAATGAACTGAGTTCTTCTGCCCAACAACCACAACCATATGTACACGCTTGACCTAGACGACCTTCATACTTCATTGCAATACCACCACTAGAAGATGCTGCAGCAATCTTCCCTTCTATATCAATACAAACAGCACCAACAGTATCAAATCTATGGACACGAGACTTTTTCAACTCTGGAACATTTTCATGATGACTAAAATGAGAATCTTTTGTAGTTGCATCCCTTTCGTTCCCGTTAAATAACCAACTTTTGTACTTTTCCCATGAAACCCGCGAATGTTTTGTGACGAGATTACTATTATCAACAGGATATCCTTTTGACGCAGCCCACAGATGAGCACCATCACCGACAAGTACAGATGGAGGAACGCGTCCTAACTCACCCATAGGGTGGTCAATTTGTGACTGTAACAGAAGCCTTGCAACCTTTACGGGATTCTTCATATTACGAACAGCTCCAATCCCAGCAAACTGAAGGGTAGAGCCACTCATTATTCCCGCATCACATTCCACATACCCATTAATACTCAGATTACTACCGATCCCTGCATTGGTTAATGGGCAGTCTTCTAAATACGCTACAGCTGCTTCCACAGCGTCGATGGCACTTTTGTGATCAACTGACAAAAGTTTCCCGGCCAATGAACAGGCTTCGGAACACAATTTATTATATTTCTTTTCTTTTGATTTAGAGTGATATCCGGCACCAGCGTGTACGACGACGCATGCCATGAGATAACGAACAAGTATTACTGTGAAATGTGAAAAATTTTGAAAACAGTTAAATCAGTATATGTTAAGACAACTCAGATGAAAAAGTTAAGCCTGATGACTCAAACGATCGTTTGTTAATTGAATGACAAACGTACTCTGGTCATCTTGTGAACATTCCTTATAACTTGAGTAATTAAAATAATAACTTTGCTCGAAGTGAAATCAGAAGCATATACAACAAGGACAAGCTAATTTACTTGCTGCCAAAATTATCGTAGCTAAGACGAACGCACAAAACACAATCGTACTTAACAAGTTGTAAAGGTCACATCAGGGTAATTAAACAAACTTTAGCACTTTGGAGTGAGAAGAATATTTTATCTCCAAAAATGAACTGAATTATGATTGATGAAATCACTTCGAGACAAGAAAATTTTTTCGACCCAAAGGAAGGAATCTGAATTTTCTAAAGATTTCAGGATGCCTTGAAAATACGTCCCTCTGAATGTTTCCATACCAAAAAAACACATCAGCAATTCTAAAATTGCCAGATCACTTGTTAAAACAAAAAGAGTAAACAAATTCTTTTGTATGGTGACCCCAAATGCTCCGGTACAACCGAAGGTGGGAAGAGTCCTCTCTCTCTCCCGAGCTGCTCTCACATGGTCACGTGCATACAATAACTGCCAGGGAAGCCCCACTCACTGCGTTTTCGTGGTGAAGGTTTTGTCTGCGAAATAGAGAGGACGAAAAACGAATATTCGACGCTTGAACCAAGTTGATGGACACGGAAGGCTACCTAGTGAGTGGAACAACCCAGATTACAAACTATCAGTGCACATAGGCTCCAGCATCCTGAGGATAAAATGGCGTATGAACCTACTGTTGGTCACCAGCTACCATGGGACAGCATCTTGGGACGTCGCTCCACTGCCTTGTGGATTAGACCTTTAGGTCAAATGCTCGAGGTATGACCTTTAGGGGAAACTACGTGCTTCGGTCAGGTCACCCGGACAGTATCCCAGCCCACATACAAATCAAATGGTAACTACTACTGAAGAAACTATCTTACTTGAACTCTTATTCAACCAAGTCATATTCACAATCATTTGGTTGCACTGCTTTTTATTTTTTAATACTACTTATTTAATTCCTTTTGTTCTCATTTTGTGTATCTTACTTTTCAACTTATACAGCAACTCGCCTATGGTGGAAATTCCGTCATATCTAAACGGTTTTAAGCCACTAATTGGTCGAGTGTTGATTGCTATCACCGACTACGAACATCGAATCAAGGTTTATGAAACTACACACACCATTTAAACCAACCTCCTCCAACGTTCGCAAACTAATCCAAATCGGACAACAGATAGGGTTGGTTATGTTCCTGCACGATGATACTCAGGCCATGCGATTCGCACTTAGTTAATTGGCAATCATGAAGCGCACCAACTGTGGTACTGATTAAAACCACCTAGTTTAATATTTTATAAATTATCAACCCAGCTATGTAATTTACTGCAGTGAATATTGTATGATTTGTATCAATTTGATCTTGCCTGTAAACTGGCATGCCTCATGTAACAAACTGTTATTTGAGAATAAATTATTATTATTATTAATTAGTGTCCGTAAGTATGGTATGTGCTCTTCACATTTCAAGTGCCAAACGCTTTTACAGGACTGACAGGACCCTGATCCTGCACTAATCATGGGTAGTGAGTGGATAGAAGTAGTCGAGAATTTCGTATATCTGGGTAGCTGTGTAAGCGTTGGTGTTTGCGCGAGTGATGAAATAGATTCAGGTATGGTGACAGCCAGAACAGCTAATGCCCATCTTTGGCGCTTTCGTGATGTTAGTTTGGTAGTAAAATGTCGGATCTACAAAGTGTTGATGAGGGGAGATTTGATCTATGTTTTTAAGACGTGATCTCAATTTGAGAGTGTTAAATTACTCGAGCAAACCTTGCGCTAGTAACACCGAAGCGCATTTTTGGCCAGTTTGATGGAAAAACTTTCCACATAATCTCCAACAGTTTTATTCGTCCGCATCTAGAGTACGGAAACATAGTATTCCCCCCTCACTCCAAAAGGATAAGGACACTCTGGAACGTGTTCAACTGCCAGCCACGAAATCAGTTCGGCGACTCAAACTCAAGCCTTATGAAGAATGCCTAAAATTACTGAACCTTTACTTTTTACCTTTAACATTACAAGCGTCTTGGAGGTACATTCTAATGGCTTACATAATCCTTAACACTTCTAGACATCAACTTAAATACCGACTTAGGCTTATTCCCAACACAAACCTAAGGGGTTACACCCAGAAACTGGAGACACAACTCAGCAGAACTGACTGTAGACATGACTTCTAGTCCTTAAAAGTAGTCAAATGCTGGAATTCGATGCTAGTCCAAACGACTTCCTAGGATTCCTTTACAAGGAAACTTGACATATTCTTGAGGATTAAGGATAGTATCTTACTATGATTTAACAGCTTTTTACCTTTTTCCACTTTTATCGATATTATAGCTAGGTACCTGCGTGGAGGTATTGGTGGTATACTACTACTAAACACGAAAATCCGTTGAGCAAAAGCTTCTCCTATTCCGTCCACAATCATTTGAACCATTTGAACTTCCTTTGCGTTATCCGGTCATCAAAACAGTAATAGCACCTTCATACGGCAAAGGGATAAATCTCATTAGGTGATGACCGCAAGGTGTGACTTCGAAGGTGGCTGTTGACCGCACTATTCCCGTCTAACATCAGTAGGCCCATAATCATTCGACACAGATTAGTTAAGTTAGTGATCTACGAGATCATCAGGATGTAGGGTCAGTGAAACGTCACTGGGCATAAGCCAACTCATCCGGCAGTCAAGTCACTAAACATCGAGCAGTTTTCCAATCCCCATCAAATTCAAAGACAACTAACGCGCATTAATCAATTGTATGCTATGGGCTAGCCCAAGCGGCGGTGATTGCATTCTGTTTCTTGAGTCTATTCTTACTAATACGTTTTTACAAAAACATTTTGTTTTGTTTACACAGTCATCATGGTACCACTGAACCTGGATACGTCGAAAGGGGAATCCACGTAAGGTATTAATCGTGAACTATGATTTCGGTGTGAGGTGGTAGGTCACACCATTCCCATCAAACTATGGTAGGACCCCCAGTGATCTACAGGCAGAAGTGGGTAAACGTAATGTTGCTAATATGGTGTAGATTCGTTGCTCAGGTGGATAATTTACTCTAATTTTCGTCTTTAATGGTGATTGGTTTAATCATAACGCTTTTAGTGTTCTTTTGAAAAATATTATTGACACAAACTTAGGGCAGAATTAATGGTTTTACATGGCCAGTGAGATGTCAATGTACCCTAGCCAAATCACAGATCAGTCTGAATTATGTTTACATCAAAAAACAGATATCGTCGAGGTCCAGGATAACCAACGCAGATAATTCGTCAATCCGTACATTTGTGGTCGCATTCTGTTTCTTTAACTTATTTTAACAAATCTATTCGTTGGATATCCCTATATTTGCCAGATCAATTCATCAAACTGGCTACAGTATCTATATAGAGTAAAAGGTCAGATCGCTTTTGTTATTTGAACGCTGTGGGCGTCAACATACTACCATATGCATAGATGCAACTTCGTCTATATTAATGAACCTAGACATTAGTGAACACGTATTTGAATAGGAAATTTTTGAAATCTTAGGCAGAGTTAATATAAAAGTCAAGGAATTCTCAGGGGCTTATTAGTTGAACCAGTCGTAAGTTTAGTAACTCTTCAACATTAACCCAATCTACCAATTAGCTGCGACAGCTCACCAACAAATGTGGGATGAAGTCAGGTTAGACAATAGAAATACCTATCCAAAAAGGTGCAAACTGTTGCCAACAATAACCAATGCAGATTATAAACAGCTGCACAGGCTAAAATCTATATTTTGAGGAATTCGAACGTGTCACTTCTACTCAAGGTTTTGCCAAAGATATTGCTCGGAAGAACAACGAAAGCTACATGATTTAATCATCCAGCTAAGACAACGACACTGCGCTACGGTCGATAGCTAGAAGGTAGTAGAATGGAATTCGGCACTGATTTATAGAAGGTGGCTATGATTTTACATTGAACTCTACCAACTTGTGAGTTCCGTTTAGAACAAGGGTCATGAGTAGTGAGGAAAGCCTATAAAGGTATTTGTTTCTGGGGGACATTTGCACCGGTGGACATATTTACAACCTGACATTTTAAAACCATCATTCTATGTCAATAAATACCACCAGCTCTAGTAACAAATGGCTGCCCACTTTCATGCTGATTAATATGATGGGTAGATGCAATTACGTAGGTTTTTGATTTCATCGATCGTTTTCTTGGTTATTTGAATGCTGTGTTGAGCATACTAAGAGGCTTACATCACATTGAGTAACCTTTCCAAACTCTGAAAATTCAAATACTTGTAGTGGTATTGATTCGTAGTCACACGATATTTGAATCTGGGCATGAGATAACTGAGGAAATTTACGTTCAACACCTAACACACATAGAGGGTCAGAGAAGATAAACACACGGACAACTGTGTTGGTATGACATGGCTCAGACGTGCATTTGTGTTAAGTCTTCATAACTTGCCCTTTTCATATTAAGTGTATTGCTCTATCACAAGCATAGCCGTATCCCGTACACACAAAAAATGGTAGTCAAAACAACTAGTGTAACAGAAGCCTCAACGTACCCAAGGGCAAAGGCAACATCCTCAAATACAGTGAGGAGAGCACCAAACAAATCACACTTTATGGACAGGTGGAATCTTCCGAGTACCTTGACAGCATTATCGGTGAACAAGGAGGATCCGATGCAGACGTAAACGCAAGGATTGGCAAAGCAAGTGCAGCATTCCTGCAGCTGTAGAAAATACGGAACTCAAAACAACTGTCAACCGATGTCAGTCGGAATCTTCAATACGGACGTCAAGATAGTTATGCTATACGGGGATGAAATGTGGAGAACTATCACAACCATCGTCAGAAAGAAATAAGCTATCTTAATAAGTTATCAACATACTCCTGATGCGTTGAAAATGTACCATGAATAATGACCCATTCTGGTTCCATTTGAGGAAATTAGGAATATACATTAGAGACAAATAGATCACGCTTAATGAACATCATCGAACTGTTTCACAAAGCTAGCCGAAACTTGGAATCTTCGCAGCAAAAGAACAAGAGGCAGGCATCAAAAGAATGGTCAGCACTTGGGTACTATCGGTAACGGTAGAGCATAACAGAGTTGGTT